AAAAAAAAAAAAAAAAAAAAAAAAAAAAAAAAAAAAAAAAAAAAAAAAAAACCTTTAGCCCCTATCCACGAGGAGTGAGTCAAGGTCCGAGATCAGGTCGAAAAGACGTTATCAATGGACAATAATTGAATATTCCTATACTGCCCTTTATTTGTCGAATTAATATATTCTTAGGAATAAAGTGAATGAAGATATTTTAAGTGGAATAGATAGAGCTACAGAAAATTGCACACTTTTTCTTACCCATTCTACGGAACAAAGGTTTTATTTTTTAATTATCTAATATATTTGGGAAAAAAAATAATTTTTTTTTTCCAAACAATTTTTTCTTTATAACTTTTATAGAGTTGTCTTCTTGTTTTATTTATAAAAAATATTCATTTCGTCCCCCATAGCATACGGGTTTTAATACTATGAGGCTGACCACGTACATAACGATATAAAATAGACCATATTTGTTAGTGGTGGGCTTTGACTATTATAAATGGTATCAGAGCCAGACATCAGGTAGTGTGCCAGCGAGGACGTTAGGTCGAGTGTGGAACCCAATGAAAGCAGAGCCAGACTGAGCGGTGTGCGAGCGAGGACGTTAGATCGGGTGTGGAAACCGAGCGAGGACGCTGGCCCTAAAGAATGGGTTGTGAAATCCCACATTGGTTAACCTCTTCCTAGCATACTATCGATGTTCTTATTTGAATCTTTAGTTCATCTTCATATTTTTATCGTCTATTCAATGATGTATGAAATTGTCAATCCATCTTTCGTGTCAATATCCAACATTTTTCAGTGCACTAACGTGTATGTAAGAATGTGTCGGGATTGTGAAGTTAAATTAAATGAGAACACGACATGTCACGTGGCACGAAATTTTTCTATGGCCATGCACCCATTTTCATACTTGATCTTCATGCTTGGTTGTTGGGTAGCATGCTCTATTCATCTCCTCGCACTTCAATATTTTCACACCAACAAAATTCCCCTTTTCAATCCTTATTTGTCTCACTTATCCATCCCCTCATAATTATAATTATTATTATAAACATTGTAAATAAATAAATAAATAACTATTGGAATAATAGGGTATTGGGCTGCACATTGCTAATATGGGCCGGCCCACATCCAGGTTCAAATGTCCAAAGGCCCAATTTTGTATTTGGGCCGTTAATTTAAAAGATGGAGAAATTGGGCCGTATGGCCGAAATAAAAGCCCAATTTTGACAAACATCCAAAATGCAAAAGCATCTTTAATACTTTCCCGTTATTTCGTACGGCTCATATAGCGTGACAAGGCTATTTTGGGAAGAGAGATAATGTATGAATCATATTTCAAATTTCTTTCTATTTAAAATTTTAATATAAATTAATTTTAAAATTATTATCTAATATATATATAAATTTTATTTCTTTTTACCTATTTAAATTTCTAGATTTTATGTGTGTGTATATATATTATTTATTTTTAATTAATTGCGATGGAGAAATATTAGCATTAAATTTATGAGAACCTATATATATTGACACAAGTAAGCGATGGATCATCTGGTGGGCCATCGGTGACATGTCTACGTGGTCCATCGAGATTTGATGGACAAAGAACAAAATGAATGACTACTATAGAGATTTTTATGAACCTCATAACGATTTTGGTGGTAAGAGCATATTACCCTGGGATTACAAACCCTAATTCGGGGGTCATAGTCTTAATTTTTGGGGACGGGGTATCTTCCAGTATATAGAAGACAAGACAAAGATACTGGTCTCACAAACATAAAACTCGGTAAACTTTTAGCTCATATTATGTATTTTTCATTTTTTATTTAAAAAAGAAGTTTAGTCCATATTTTACTGATTTTAAATTTTATTGTCTTTATGTATTTATATGAATGAAAATAAAATAAAATAAAAGACTAAATTTGTTTTATTGTCTTTTAAATTTTGGTTTTACTTTTATATCACATTGCTTTAAGTAGTTTTTTCTAAGACATTATTTTAAATTACAATTTTAATTACAAAGACTAAATTTAATTTATTTATCCAATGCGAAATTGATCTCTTCATTTTCTCTGCTCAACTCAAGCGGTGGAAGGCACCGTGATTTTAAACAATCGCCCATTGCTTCTGCAGTTCATCGATCAGCTCCGGCAGCTGTTTCTCCGGCAAGATCACCGTTACCGTCCGGTCACCGCCGGGTCTACCGTCGCAACGTGGAGGCCCTGGAAGCACCAAGACGACGCCGTTTTCACCGACTCCCCCAATTTCATAATTCACATGAACTGGCCTCTGTCCTTCCAATTCCAAGCCGTAGAGATTCGCTTCTTCCAAATCAACGAACGTCAATCTTGCGCCGTACGCTATGAAGTCAGAATCCTCCCTTTCTTTCTCCACCAATTCCTTGATTTCTTCGCCCTCGTCGATTTTCTTCTTCACAATCAGCTCCGCCAACGCACCTTCCTCCGCTCCGGCGACCGGAAAATCGGCCTCGATGGCGCTCATCACCATTCCATTTATCGGAATCTGACCCTCTCTATCAGGACATTTAGTCGAATAGATCGAAATCGTCTTCGAATCCGAGTCCTCAAGCCGTATTTTCGACAGACATTTCCAGAAAATCGCAGCAATAGCTTCAAAACTGGAGTAGTTCGCCGATCGATTCCGGTCGACGACGCTCAATATTCGTACCAGTTTCTCTTCCGTGATTCGAAACGACCGCTTCGCCATTTTGCAGTCGTTTGAAGCGATCCAAAGGTCTCCAGTCGAGTCCAGCCGCTTGATCGGCGATGTAGATCGTCCAGTTGAGCCGGACGGCCGAATGAGGTCCGCCGCAGTCGCCGGCAGTGGGCGGAGTCGTTCGACCGGGCGGTTTTTCATGACGTGGCCCCATGCGTTGATGAAGGTGGAGGCGGAGAAAATATCGCCGAGGACGTGAGCCCAACTGAGGCCGACGGAGAGTCCGCCGCACCTGAACCGAGTCAGCTGCACGCAGCCGAAATGGTTTTTAAAATTTTTTATTTTATAATAAAAAACTACATTTAAATATTTATTTATTAAAAAATTATCAATTAGATTATTTATTATTTTCATTAATAGTATTTTTCTTTTGTTTAACGGAGGTTGGACGGATGAGTCATTCCGTCAACTATTAATATTTTAATAATTTACTTTATTCTTTTAAAGTCCATTTATATCACGTGAGATTTCAACAACTCTAAATGATAGGTTGAGAAATTGCGCAAACCTCATAAATAATAATAAAAATATTAAATAATAAATAAGTCAATGGCAAATATTTCATGGTTCATATAGTTCATCACATTCATAATTAATCGTTCCATTTCCAAATTTATCTTATTAATTAAAATAACTTAAATATAATTAACTCTATAATACCTTTTGTCATCAAGCAATGGATTAAAGTATGTGTGCTTTTATTATTTAGTTAATTAATTTTATTTATATTTAATTCAGTTTTCAAAAAAAAAAAAAAAAATCTTACCATAAAAAACAAATTTAATAACCTTTCAATTATTTAGGAAAATTATCATTATTTTTCTTTCATAACCTTTTCTTTTTAATTAAATTATTTTTAGATAATAATAATAATTTTATTTATTTATTTATTTATTTTTGTCAAGGCAGTTACGGAAACCAACACACAAGACGGACGCACCTGGATGAACACGAGAGGGGAGAATCCAAGATCTGGCCCGATCGCACGACTGTAAACCAAATCTCCATCGCGGTGCGAAATCTTGTCGTCGTCGATCGAAAGCCACTCGTCGATCGTTTTTTCGCACTCCACTTCAACGATTCTCACTCCGCTATCATTACACTTGATAAACGGCCGATCGCGATCTTCGATCCTCCTCCGAATCCTCCCCGAAACGACATAGTATATCTCCAGCAACGGAAACATAGGTTTCTTTAGGTCATAAATCGTCAAATTTCTCACCTCTTCGCTCGGCCTGAAGAAATAAACGCCGCGAATGTAATGAAGTTTCATCGCAAGATCGATCGCCGAAAGTTCATGGACCTTATTCTCGCCGGTCGCCTTCGCCGGAACCACGGACGAAAATTTCACTTCGGAAATTAGTTCGTTTCCGCTGCCGTCCATGAATCTCGCCGCCTGACGAAGAATAGAGAGAAATCGGAACCTTCGAGCGGTTTTCTGATGAAATAGCGCGTAGAAGTGAGAGAAGTTTGGAGGAGGAGGAGTTGAATTTATGGAAGACTGGAGAATGGCAGAGGCTTTTGTTGTGGTGAAGAAGATTCGCACGCATCCTTGCAGTTGGGAGAAGCCATTAATGAGAGCTTTTAATATGAACAAAGCAATTTGAAATGGATAGGGAAACTATTAAATGGAAAGATGAGGAAGTTTATTGATTGAAAACACGGCTTACCTAGAGACGCATATCCGTTTTTAAGTTTAAATTACATTCTCATAAAGAAAACAGCGGAATTCAAACCTACCATTGCCTTTACACTAAAAAAATCATAAAGAAAAAAAAAAAAACTTATTTATTTATTTATTTAAAATATAATAATATTAATTAAAATTTGAAAGTTTAAATATATTTTTTAAATAAACTATTGTCCAGGGTTTTTTTTTTTTTTTTTTTAATTTTAAAATTTTAAAAATATTTTGGTGATAAATTCAAATTTTATTTATAGTTTTATTAATTTAGCTAGTTAATAATTTTTTTAAAAAGCTAAATTAATAAATAAAAACTTTCTACTTCATTTTAAAAATATATATATATGAACTAAGAGGCATCAATCATACAATATATTTCAATAAAGATGCGAAGAAAATAGGGTTGAAATTATCAAAAACACATTTCAATTCATGCAACAGAATAACGAACCTTCATTTTATAAATTTTGGGTGGATTATAATTTAGAGTTGTTGTATTTCATTAATCTATTTTAAGACATTTTAATTACTTTACTTACATTTACATCATGGTTAATTATGACCATAAAATATAAATGTTACAACTTTTGGAATGACTTATTCTGAGTTTATATAAAGCCATGTATGTTGTATTTGTGAGTAACTTGGAAAATATAATAAAATGAGCGTTTGTGCTTTTCTTTACCAAGTTTGTTTGCAATTTTATGTAATTTAAGTTGCATGTAAAATCATTCAAGCTAAACATGATCAATCTTGCTTGTGCAGTGATTCGAATCTCAAACAAGTGTTCTTACGTTGAGATATTTGATTAATAAGAATCATTCAAACTAGACATGATCGATCTTATTTGTTGAATGATTCAAATCTTAAACAATGTTATTGACTTGAGATATTTGATAAAAAATAATCTGAATTCTCTTGTAGTGATTTCCACATATCAATATATCTTATATACTCTTACCCATAGTTTTGAATGAAAACCGTTACTATTTATTTCAAAAATATCATTAACTTCAAAAATTAATGGTAAGAGTACTTTTTTATCAAAATGGAAAGTTACACAGTAAGAACATTTATTTATTTATTTTAGTTTAAGGGTAGTATTAAAATTTTTGAAATTTTATTAATATTCTTTAAACAATTTATTACATTTTTGAAACATATTATTTTATTTTATTTCACGATACTCATGTTCAAAATCTAATATTTTCACATTTATTTTGTTAAAAAAAAAAAAACTTAATATTTGAGATTGAAACAAACCTCTACCGTATTGAATTAATTGAACGAATTAAATTCCTCACAAACTCATACGGCGGTAAAAATTGAATGCTATGATCATTAATTCAATTTTAAAATGTACTTTAAAATAAATAAATAATAATAATAAAAGAAAATAAAATATTTAATAATAATAATAAAAAAAAGAGAATAAAATATTTATAGTTTTGAGTTTTTCATTAAATAGGAAAAAGGGAAAAGGCACGAGCTCAACGGTTTATAAACTTTTTTCCAGGCAATACTCTTAAAAAAACATTTTTTTAATAGTAATTATATTATATTTTAATATTTTGTAATTAAAAATATATTTATTGCTTATAAATTAAATTAATAGTTAATAAAAAAATAAAAAATAAAAATATATAAATGAAACCGACATAAATATACAATGATATAGTCAAGAGAGGTTAAGAAGTAGGTCACCTTTCGTAATTGTGCCTGTTGGAAAGTGGACGAAATTAAGGGCATTCAAGATGAGATAAGTACATATTTTTAAATTCAAATATTAAAAAAAAAAAAGAAAATTAATTTGTTGTATTTTATTTATTTTTTAAATAATATCCTTTCAAAATTTATATATTTTTTTTTTTTTTAATTTGTTGTCATTAAAATGGTTAACAAAAAGTCAGGACAATGATTTTAAACAATGTGACAATAACTAGAATAATTGTCAATATTAATTATGAATAAACTATGTTTAGTTACCGATTTTGTTGGTCTAACGATCTAATAAATTTATATTTTAATAATAATTTTAAAACGTTTATTTAATGTTAAGGTGAAAACGAAGTATTTTGGTGGCATAATTATATTTTACAAATATAGAGCCAAATGTGATAATTTTTAAAAATAAAATAAAAATATACTCATTTTAGTTCTTAATTTTTATTAAATAAAATAAAATATTTTATTTTGTAAATACTGATTTTATTGCTAGTTTATTTAATGTACACGTGGAGACGGTAGCTTGTAAAAAATAAATGTTGAAAAGTATGGACTTTTATAAACCAAATTATTGGACCTATGATTTTATGACACCTCTTACTAAAAGGATGAAAGTTATATAATTATTGTTTGGAGTAGAGGAGGCCATACAATAAAGTGCATCTATTTCACTAAAATAAATTTGATTTAATTTAATTTAATTTAATTTAATTTAATTTACTTATTTTCGTACATCGGAATGAAAGAGAGAGTAGAGATAGATTAGGGCTCATGAAAATTATATTTTTCATCTCTACCTACTCCCCTCTATTTTATATTTATTTATTTAAGTGGATAAGTAATATTGAAATTTGAGTTTTTTTTACGAATTAAATTAAACACTATAAATATTATAAAATAAATACTTTTTTATATAAAAAATATATTAAGAATTGAGAGAGAAGTTCTCGTAAAGAATAGTGATTTTGTAAAAATAAATGAAGAATTTTGTAGAAATAGAAATAAAAATAAAAACACGAGGTGGGATCAAGAAAACTTCCTTGTTTCCGTCTTGGCTCGTGGACATCTCTAATGATATGAACCAAGAGACATCAATCATACAATATACTTCAATAAAGAGACGAAGAAATTAATGTTTAAATTATTAAAAGATATTTCAATTCATGGCACATTAAAAATGAAGTTCATGATATAAATTTTGGGTGAATTGAGTAATTTAGAGTTATTTTATTTCATTAATGTATTTTAGCTAATAGCTAAGTTTGTTTGCAATTTTATGTAGTTTAAGTTGCATGTAGAATTATTCAAACTCGACATGATCAATCTTGTTTGTGGAGTGATTCGAATCTCAAGCAAGTGTTATTGCCTTGAGATATTTGATCAACAAAAATCATTTAAGCTAGACATGATCGATCTTACTTGTGAGTGATTCGAATCTAAAACAAGGTTTTTGCCCTAAGATATTCGATCAACAAAGTAATCCAAATTTTACTGATTTCTACCTATCATCTAATATTGGATAATTTAAATATATAATTTTTTATTAAAGGAGTTATAATACTTCTATTTTTAATATTCAAATATTTATTATGCTTAAAAAATTTATACCCTTTAAATTTGTTATACTACAAAGAAGAACAAAGTTTTAAATATTATGAAAAATAACGGTTTTATTGTTATTTTTTCTATATTTTATTTTATTATTTATTATTATTTTTAATAATTGTTTGAGTTCGACGGTGTGAAAATATAGACCTAATAATGCTCGAACTAGTCGAGGGTAAGGGTGTACATCCAACCCGGCAACTCGGACCAATCCAACCCAAATTATAGGGGTCGGGTTAGGTTGGGTTGGATTAGTAGTTCGGGTTGAGTTGGGTCGTTTTAAAAATACATTTACACGCTCCGAGCCGTTTAATGGGCTGAGCTAAATTGAAGTAGTTACGGCCTATTAGTTTATGTTGGGCCGAGTTGTTAGTGGGCCATGGCGCGGACCAACTCGTCCATTCAATCTCCTGCTCTCCCGGTTTTTGACTCGAATACGAAAACGAAGCTTCATATAAAATTTATCGCTCTCTCTCTCTCTCTCTCTCTCTCTCTCGATTTTCGCTTGATGTTACATCTTCATCTCCTTCAGAGGCGCTAATTTCGATCCTTCCGAAGAACACTGCACTGCACCGAAAATGCACGGACGGCCGCGCAAGCCTCAGAAACCGGAGGAAGAAGAGGCTTCGGCGGCGGAAGCCGCCAAGCTTCGTCCTCTGCAATCTCAATTGCTCGAAAATCACCACCAGAAGAAGTATATATTTGACTTGCTTATCTCTGTTTCGTGTTTCAGTAACGGTTTAGGTGTTTCTGTGATTTGATTTTTGGATTGATCGTTGCAGCTATGATAAGGAAGCCCTAGAGGTTAGTGCTAAGGTGCTGGAAATGAATCCGGATCTGTATACGGCTTGGAACTATAGGAAACTTGCGGTCGAACACTACCTGAAGGAATCTCCATCAGATACCGAGTCGATCAAAGCGATCCTCGATGAGGAACTCAGAGTAGTAAGTTGTCATTTGTCGTCGCTGGATTTGAAGCTCTTTGTTCAATTCTCGACTAGGCTTTTGCTTTTAGTTAATCGGTCCGAAGATGTCGTTTCGTTAATGCGTTTGGTTGGCTCAACGCTGTTGTTGATTGTTAGTACGAACTACTGATTTAGGTTCCGTCAATTCATCTAATGTAGGCTGAAAGTGCACTGCGTCAGAACGTCAAGTCGTACGGCGCGTGGTATCATCGAAAATGGATCTTGAGCAAGGGGCATTCATCCACCGATCTTGAGTTGCGTCTTCTTGGAAAGTTTCAGAAGCTCGACGCTAGGAATTTTCATGCATGGAACTACAGAAGGTTAACATCTGCTTGCATTCTCCTTGTCCAATCCTTCTAGGCCGATAGCCGCTGTTTACATGACCATTTTGGATGTATTAGTTCATATATTTCTTTGTCCGTTTATCAGATTTGTGGCAGAGTTAACGAACATACCCGAGGAGAAAGAGTTGAAGTATACAACAGATATGATAGACACAAATTTCAGCAATTATTCAGCATGGCATAATCGCAGGTATAGCCTACGTAATCCTCAGTTGAAAATTTATTCTGTAAAAGATTTAGGACCAGTTGTGCTGGCTCATCCTTTTCTGCTTGTTCATAAAATTCAACTATCCAAGGAAGATATTACCGGTGTTTCCTGTTT